CTTGGTTCTTTATTTTGACAAATCATTAAAAATTAAAAAAAATTATATGTATTGATTTTCTGCCTGCCTGTGTACTATATGTATTCAGCATCCTCAGAGGCCAGAAAGGCACTGGACCCCTTGAAACTGGAGTTACAGATAGTTGATATCTGCCATATCAGTGCTGGGTATTGAACTTCAGTCTTCTAAAGACCAGAAAGTGCTCTTAACTGATGAGCCATTTGCCAGCATCCAACTCATTAAAAATATTTTGAGATATTTGGAAGTATTTTAATACCGATAGCTGATGAGATCAAGAATTTTTATCAACATTTTGAGTTATAAAAAATGGTATCTCTATATTTCATAAAAGAACCTTGTCTTTTGGAGATGTAGTCACAAATAGAAATGGAATTACATAATAACTGAGATTTGCTTCAGAATAATCTGAACATGGATAGAAAGAAGAGAAGGGGCAGAGAGTTCAAAGTTGATTGTAAATTGATAGATTGTAGATAAGTATTTACTTGCCAATTCTAATTTTGTACATACATGGTATTTTTTCTATAATTTTTAAAAGTGCAATGTGAACCAGACATGCAATCCAGCTATTCAAAATGCGGTTGTAGGAAGACTACAAATTTGAGGTACTCTTGGGCTACAGAATGTGTTCAAGGCTAGCCTGAGCTAGCCTGGGCTAGCCTGGGTAAATTGGTGAGCTCCTGTCTCAAAATATGAAATGAAAAAAGGTCTGGCGAAATAGCTGAGTGGTAGTGCATATTCTTATCAGGAATGAGGATCAAGGTTCAAGTTCAAGTAACATACACACACACACCAATAAGAAAAACAATTACTTCAATTGTATATCATGAAATGAGCATAATTTGATAGGCCTTGTCCAAAGTGTAAGGTGCTCAACTCTGAATGCTGGTTAGCTTTAAGAGGAGGCAGGAAAGACATCATGGTCTGGGAGAGGGAGAACATGAGCTGAGACATGGAGAAGAACAATAATGAATGTAGTGTATTCTTAGGAAAGATGAGTGGACATCACTGGGGAAAAAGAAGTGGCTTGATTGGCATAAGGTGGGCACTGATGACACCGGACTAAGCAGTGTGTGCATGGAATGAGCTAGCAGAAGCCAGTGTGTCTGGTGTTTTATTAGCAGTGCTGGCTGAACAGGACTGGAATGCATACTGAATGTGCTGGATGCAAAGCAAACATGGGTTGGAGTGATGCAATTCAGAGAGGCTCCTTTCTTCTTTACAATACAAAGAGGCCCTGCTTTCTGCCAGTGGCCAGTAGGATCTTTCCTACTTGGCCATGTTCATTTACCAATGAGCCAGAACTTAAAGGTTTAACAACGATGACTTGACACTAACTCCTTTCAGGCTCATTTTCCTGCTGATAAGAATCAGTTATTCTGTTGGCCAACCTTGTCCGGGAAAACAGAACCTGAGCCAGGGATCCCCTGGAGCTGGATTCTCTCTAGTCTACTCCGATGTTTGTCTTTCCCAGTGCTTTCTCACTTGTGTTTACTGCACTCTTTGGACTTCTTTCTCCAGGAAGGGAGACATTACTATATTCATCTGGCAGGTGAGGAAACTGAAAATCAAGGTGAGAAATAATTTGTTTAATATCCCGTGGCCAATGAAAGAAGAGAGTGACATTCTCCCAGCTTTTTGGTGTCTTTGATCTCTCTTTTCCTCCTGCTTCTCCCCACCTCACTCCTCTTCCCCCTCCTCCTCCTGCTTCTCTTCCTTCTCCTCTGTTCATCCTCTCCCCACTGACTCTCTTGAAATAGGATAGTTCAAACTAGCTACAAACTCATAATCCTCCTCTCTCTGTCTCACAAGTACTTGGATTACAGGCTTGTACCACCTCACCTGGGGGGGGGGGGGGACTCTGGTTTTACGCTTAGCTTCTCTCTGTAATGTCTTTGTCCTCCAGGGTGTCAAGGCTACTTTCTTCCAGGATGAACCAAATAATACTAGGCTCTTACGTGACTGGTACTCTGCTGGGTGATCTACTTGCATCAGTTGTTTTCAACCCTTCTCATGATCTCTTACCATAGGGACCACACTCACTCCCATTTTGTAGATGGGGAAATCGAGGCCCTTACTATTGCAGAGTTCAGAAAATAAGAAATCAAGATGCAAACCCTAGACTACCTTTCTTGGGCTACTTCTTCCTGCTTAGTTGAGTCAGGTTTCAGAATTCACCCAAATGAAGGCCTGGGAATGAATAAGGAAAAGACTTCCATTACCAGTGCACTTATATTTACAGTGGGGTCATTTCTTTGGTTATGGCATTTCCATAGCATTTATAATATACTAGGCTACACACATTTCAATTCCTCAGATATCCATAATGGTCCTGTAATAATTATTCTCATATAATCAATAGGGAAACTGAGGCACCAGCCAATGCCATAGAGCTAATAAAATGGAGAGCAAGGAGTCAACTGAGCCAGTTTGGTGCTTGAGTTCATGGTCTTGATTATGTTGCCCCATGTCCAAGTACTGTGCTGGCATACCATCAGATCTAGACGGTTTGGGCTGACTTGGATTCAAATCTCATGAGATCAGATTACAAAGACCAATGTGACTGGGGACTAATTTGATTTAACTTAAACTCTAAGGCAAGTATTATAAAGTAGCTTGATTAGCTTGAGTTAGGAATGCTTCAGAAGGAATGATTGTGACTCTTCAATAGTTGCAGTCAGAGCCGATTACTGAATGGACGGTGATAAATCAATCACCATCATTCAATCACTTGGCATGTGAGAGTTTAATGATTAGTAGGTATTAATGTCCTCTTTGGTCTCTACTGTGTTCTCTTGTCTTGCATTCTACCATGAACCTGCACCCAGTGCCTATCACCTCTCTGCCACTGACTTCGACATTCTTCTCCACTCAGTTCACTCTTTGTCTCCACAACTCAAGAAGCCTAATCTTGTTCTCTAGCCTTCCTGTGATTGGCTTTGACCATTGCAATGTGAGCCAAAGTGGTGGGAGTCAATTCCAGATGTTAAAAGCCATTATGTATCCTGCCAATACCTCCCGCAATGGTCAAACGCTATCTGTTTTCTGTCTAGCATCCTAGAATGAGGCAATCCTGAGCAGAGGTCTCGGGCTACCCACAAGAGACGTGTAAAGTAAGATTAAAATCTTCATTGCTGTAAGATGTGAGGTTATTTCTTTGATAGTATACACAAATCTAATGAATAGGTGTTTTATAAGCTACTGTGGTTTGAAGGTGAAATGGTCCCCTACAAGCTCATGTTTTGAATACTTAGTCCCCTGTTTGGGAACTTGGTGTTTTGAAGGCCTTAGGGTCATATCATTAGGTGTCATGGCCTGGCTGATGGAAGTAGGATGCTTGAAGCCTTGGAAGGTTATACCATCCCTGGTGTTACTTTTTACTGTTTCCTGGTCCATTGTGATTTGAGGGGGTCTCTGATACATGCTCCCACCACCAAGAGTCCCACCCCGCCTTTCTCAGTTTGACAGATGGAAGTCCTGATGAAACCATGAGCCTAAGCAAGTCTCTCCTGTGCTTCTGTCACATGTAATTTCTAAGTGATGAGAAAAGTAATGAGTGTGCTTTAAAAGGGGGAAAACCCATTATGTGCTGCAAGCACATGCAGTGTCTTGACTTCAAGGTCAAACTCTGGGTTGCACCAGATTGCCTCTCCTTTCTTCAGCTACACCTCCCTGGGGTCCGTGATAGGTGTAAGTTCCCTTTGAATATAGGTATATTTTACATAGTGTTTCCTTACTGCTCATTATGAAAGAGTCTCATTTCCTCTTCTGCCTTGTCAGTTACTATCTGTGACAGTGGTCTTGGTGGCATGCAGAAGAATGTGAAGACTCATCATGGCTGTGGTGCTGGGATGATTTGAGGGGACTTTATTTTTGGCTACTAGACCACATGGCTCAGAAGAACAGATACTCAGTTTTTGTTTACCTACTAGTTTTAGCATTGGCATAATTTCCAGCACCTAGTAGGCCTTTTCCATCAGTATTTGCTGGTTAGCAGTTAACAAAACCAAGACGTGGTGATTACTGGAAAAATGTTGGCACCTGACGTCTCAGATTTGAATCCCACACAGAGAATTATTCTTCGTATGACTTCCAGTTATTAATCTTTGCTCAGGAGCCTCGTCTCTAAGCAGATAAAAACTAGGACTCATCTCATCGTGTGGCCTCCAGCTTAAGGATGGATTAAATGTGTGTACTCCTCATTGATATCCCCACTTGCTTAGCTTACTGGTCCATACTCTGCTGGTGAGGCTGCGACTGATAGTTTTCTTGGTTCCATTTCCAGACTTTCTAAATGGCTAGCTACTATTAGATCCCCAAGGAGACACGCTGGCGGGAGCCAAAAGGAGGAGAGAGCTTCCTGTCCACAGTGTGGTGCCCACAGTGTGGCAGCAGGTACAGCTGTGCAGCATTCTCCAGCTGCTCCCAGCATTCTCAGCTCCAGCTAGTCCTTATTCCACAGACGCCTCAGCTTCATCCCGAGTTCTAGTACCAGCCAATCATCTTCTCCCAGAGCTCCTAGTACCAGCCACGTAGTATTTCCACTCTGACAGTACCTGTCTCCCCCAAATGATCCAAGTATCAGCCATATATGTCCAACCCTTAGTACCCGAACCCCTGTTTCCTTGAATTTCTCCAGATCCATGGCTGGTGGCTGTGCTTTCTAGTTATATAATCCAGGGTCATTTAGAACCCCCCACCCCCACCCCGATCTACTTCTTGACTCCTGATAGCAATAACAGATCACACAGAACAAGCACACCAGACACATAGGAAGCTCCAGGTGGATGTGCAACCTTGCATTGGTCCAGGCGGGTAGAAAGCCAACGCTCTCCTCGGAACACTGTGAAAGATCCCACGCACCTAGAGTGCATAAAGGTGAACATGATGCTGGCCCGACTTTTGAGGAAGCACCAGCCCACAACACAGCTCACTCACCCCAGGCTTTGTGTACAAAGCAAAGGAGGACACGACTTCTGTAGCATTAGCAATTTTTTTTTTATTTTTCCTTTTTTGTTGCATAGGAAATGCAGTACTTGCTTCCAGTAATTGTATTGTAATGTGAGAAGGTGGTAGCACTAATGGTTGAATACAAGAGTTAAACTAATCCACACCAGCTCAAAAACCCTGTGGAGATTTAGTTGATAAGAATGGACGCCCACAGTGATTCTCAACCAATTACAAGTTTTCACAGAACACAGTAAACAAAAAGGGTAACTATGAGAGTCAATACAAATATGCTAGAGGCACAGGGGGCCCGGCTCATAAAAACAATTTCAGACCAAGTTATTAACACGGGGCGTTTCGTTTCACAAGAGATCTCGTTTTCCATCATTTGAAGTTTTTAATCCTTCCCCCCACAATTTAAAAAGAAAACAGAGGCACTCTGAGCAGACATTTTTTTTTTTCCTGTGTGTGATGATGGGAAAGGTATGTGGGAGAAGCAGAAAAGGAACCATGGACCTGGCCTGGCCTTGACAGTCTTCCTAAAGACCTGCTGGGACCTGTTGGGACCTGCTGGGACCTGCTGGGACCTGATGACACTCCTCTGGTCTGGCTGGCACCTCGGTGGCGAGGCAGCCAAGTTCAGTGGAGAGACAATGGTCTGAAGGAGAAGAGAGCTGGAGGCTCCTTCACGGCATCCTGACATGGCCAGATGCCTAAGACCTTTAGCGGACAATAACAGGTTAAAAAAGAAAAAAAGCAAATTTACAGACCATGGCCAAGAAAAAAACAAAAACAAAAACAAAGACCCAGAAAACAAAAGCAATACAATTTGCAGTCAAAACAAAGAGCAAACAAGCTTTAGGCTCTTTGAAAAGCTGAGTGTTGAAGAACAGGAAGAATGGTCTGTTTCTTGGACACCACTTGCCTTTGAAACCACTGGAGAGACAGGAAACTTCACATTTTAAAGTTTGTGATACTTTCTGCCATCAACTTGCTCTAGTTAGATCAGAGGTAGCACTTCTCCTGTATACTCTTGTGGTCCAGACACATTTTACAAAGTTAGTGTTTCAGCCCAAACAGCACAGTGAGTCCACGTGTAGGATGCCTGACACACAGAAGGGGTGCATCCATGTGCTGTACTCCTATACTAAAGTTACCCTTAGCCTGTGAGCCCCACTGGGTTCCAGTTCCCATAGAGTATCCCTCCAATTTTATTAATGCAACCCTTGGGAGAATGAAAGGCAGATGGGTGCTGGTTCAGGGGGAAAATTAAAGAAAAGAAATACTCAATTTGGGAAGCAAATGGTTTCAAATGTAAATTGAGAGAGAAAGAGAGAGAGAGAGAGAGAGAGAGAGAACATACTTTTAAAATCCCGTGTTAATAGCAAACTTCTTTCTTATGAATCGGGCCCAAAGTTTGTACAGAGTTATATTTCTGAAGAAAATATTGCATCTGTGCATGTAACTAAATAGCTACGTGATTTCTTAAAGATTTTTTGTTTTGTTTTGTTTTTTTTTCTTTTTTACTATGAGGAAGTCTGGTGTGAGACAGATCAAGCATGGGTACACTGTCCATTAAGGTTCTTCAGTGTTGTCTAGCTTCTGTCGAGGGTCAAGAAAGTGACTCTCACTTGGAAACATTCTCAGAGTGGTTTCACAGCAGAGTTCTTGAAGTTCAAATGGTAGTTTTGAGACAAAAATCTCATCAGATACTGATTTCTGAAATCAAACACCCATGCTTGTCCCTTAGGAGAAACAAAAGAAAACAAAAACAAAACAAAACAAAAAAAACAAAACAAAAAATGAAAACAAATACAAGTAATACTGAATTTAAGTAAGTGTACACCTCCAAGATCCTGAAGACAGCCGGAAGGAAGACCGAGTTCACGTTCTCAGTGAAATACCTCAAACCTAGCTGATAAGAACTGAGGCAGAAAAAAAAGTTTAACAGAACTCTGAGTAATATCATACAGTCACTAAGCATTATGGGATAGCATGCATAATATTGTACGGTTATTTTACATCACCTATACCAGAGGTCCTGACTGACAGACAGCGAAGGCTACCGGTGTAGAAAAATCTTACTTCAGAAGAGCAGTATAATACAGGTTTCACAGGCACTACATTTTAATATATCAGGTATTATGCTGGTTTTCTTATAATTCTTTCTGTCCTAAAGCTGGCATTATAACAATGACCAAAAAGGCAAGGATTGAAGTAAACGGAAAGTAGATACCAAAGTTGATATAGTGTTTTTTTTTTTCTTCAGATAGATTAGTGCATAGTTCTCATGCAGATAAACACTGCTATGCATTTACACTGTTGGGAAGCAGAGTGAACTGAGCCCGAGTTGTCACATTTGTGTGAATCATTTTGTCAGCCTGTAATAGCACCATGTAATGGATTTGCATTAAACATTAAATTGATTTCAGAACTGGTGACACAGTATTCACTACAGTTAAGTGCTATGGAATAGCTTCAATATACCTGCTATATATCAAAGCAATTTTCATCCCACTGCTTTTTTTATTGGAAAAAATAAAGGGGAAACATTCATGACACTAATTGGACGAATGCACAGCCTTGGATGTGGAGAAGGCAGAGTAGGTTACTGTCGAACAGCAAGAGCATGCATTGACTTCAAGACAAAATGGCCTCCAAAGCCACTGTAAGTGAAAGCCATGCCCGAGGGACGAGCAGCCTCTGGGAGTGTCTAGGATGGTCTGGCGGGTAGGCTGGGAGGCACCACCAAAACTCTCCTTACTGACCACACTTCCTGTGTTTTACAACAGTTCAATGGAGGCCTGCTACCAGAAACCAGAAGGGGAAAAAGAAGCAAAGAAAAACCAGAGAGACACAGACAGACAGGGAGAAAGAGAGAAGGAGACAGGGAGGGAAGGAGGGAGTGATGGGGACTATGGGATAAACTCTGATATAAAAAATATCAAATGACAGTCTTAAAGACCATTCCTCATCAAAACAAAACCAAAACAAACAAACAAACAAAAAAAACCCCAACCCAACAACAGTAACAACAACAAAAAACAAATCACCAGAGAAAATGTTTTCCTTTGCAAATACCTCATAATATTGTTGCTACAAAGGTTGAAGCACACGAGGATAAAGATTTGGGAAGGTAAAAGACAATATTTTTGAGATAGAGTTTGCATATTCTTGTGGGCTGACTGAATATAGCACAGCGTGACTAGAAATTTGGATCCTGCGCTCTTGGACTGTTGGGAAAGGAAAAGGGAAGGAGGCTTGGAGAATTGAGGCTGGAGGGCCTGTGGGAGCCCTTCTGGGTGGTGGTGGCCCTGTGTGGGGAGTGAGCTTAGAGATGTCATGCCAGGCAGTGAAGAGACATAACCTTATTGGGAAGAGAAGGGCTGGAGGATAGGAAGAATGGCACCAGAGAAGACTTCTGCCCAGGACAGTTTAGAAAAGGAGCTTTGTGGTGGCCAGGAAAGGGGCCAAGGGAGAACATTTATTGGAAAATGGTGAGAGTTAGTCTTTGTGCCTCTGACTTCAGTTCCCAGAGACAAAAATGGGGGGAGTCATTTGAGGGACCATCTTTCCCAATTGCGTTAATGCCATTTGATGGGAGAGGGAGAAAAAAAATCCAACATGTCTCAGAATCAAGTCTGGGCCTTCGAATGCTGCTAGCTCTTGGGACTGTCTGTCTCTACACTCTTGTAGCAAAGTCTTCCTCAAGCACCTTGGCTCAGCTCTTAACCTAAAATGCATTGGTCGGTATTTCAGCTTTTCCTGCTTGATGACAACCGAATTATAGTTTCCTGCTGAAACATGACAATGAAGCATGAACAGAACAGAACTCGGTGTATTTACTTCTTAACCCTTGTTTGCTATCACCCTGTGCTGCCTCCACAATTGAGAGCCTTTAAAAACATTTTTTTTTCTGTAAATCTGTTCAGAGTTCCCTATTTTAGCTTCATTAAACCTAATACAACAAAATACCTTCAAAAGTACAGCACACCTGTCATGTCCATTTGCAATGGTTTTTCAGTAGACCTACACTTCTCAAGCGTAGGAATATGCTATACCATTGGCAGAAAAATAATTGCATTTAAATACTTAAAAATAAAAAACCCAAAACAACCAAACGAAAAGGAAACGGGAAAGTTTTAAACTTAATCCAGTTCCCAAAGGAGGTGCAAAAGAGACAAGAAGCAATGTTCTGAACGCTGCCTTCGTAATGAACAATCGGAAATTTCACTAGGCTAATTCGACAGAAATTTTTCCTCATTTAGACAACATTACAAAAGTCCTGCATTATAAAATAGGGTAGAATAAATCAGTGTACTCAATAAAACTATACAACGATACAAATTATGTATCTTCTGAGTGGGCAGTTTTATTCTCTCTCTTTGCAGTCGAGACTACAACATGCTCACTAAAAACAACTAGAACTGCCCAAACTATTGCTTAGTTTGTTTTGTTTAAAAAAAGGGTGCAATTTTATTGTATATACAACCAATTTACTGGTAATACCTTGGCATTTTGCAAGGTTCTGACAAAATGTTTGTCTAGGCTTTTTCCCTTCACTGTGAAGCACTGAAAGCTGCTAGTTTTTCTTTCTTTTTTTTCTTTCTTTTTTTTTTTAGTGCACATATGTCATAATAAAGTAATGCCCAGCTAAGTGCTATAGGGAAGGCAAAGTCTGCTGCTGGCTATAGAAGTGACACCGTACACTGACAATCACACCATACAACAGCGCCAAACGACTATACAACCACTTATCAGACACATATGAAAATCCAAAATGTTTTATTTTATTTTTTTTCCTTAAATAGAGATAACCAGTAAACAATTTTCAGAACTTGGAAGTTTAAAAACGTGCATATAAAAATGGGCATTATGTACTTTTTATTGAGTGTGGATTGACTGCCGTCTGCTAAGAAAAGTGGGTGTGGGGCTGAGGAGAAAGGAAGTTGTCTTTTTTTTTAATTTTTATTTTTTAAGGCTTGCTTGTGAAAGGAACAGTTGTAAAAACAAAATTGCTTGAAGCAGGGTCAGCTTAGTGCTTCACAGTTTGGCTGCTTCTCTAAGAGGAGCCCTTCCTGCGCACGTGCATCAAAAACCACAGAAAATACAAAGACAGACACCTAAAACCCACTGCGTCGTGTGCAGCACTGACTTTGGTCAAATAAAAAAAAAAGAAAGAAAGAAAGAAAGAAAAGAAAGAGAGAAAGAAAGGAAGGAAGAAAAATTAATACTTGCTAAGCTTTTCTACATGATATAAGCAGGTATTGCATATTTTCATATATCTGGTGGGGGGTGATGGGGATAAAGGAAGACTCCAAATAAATTGAAAAAAAAAATGCAGCGACATCCAAATACTGACGTTGTAAGCATCTACAGAGCTCAGAATAGCACTGCCACTGACCACACAGGACAATCAAGACTGCGCCTGTCTGCGGAACAGCTAACTTTCTATTTAGGTCTAGATGTTGAAACTGACGATGGCTGACATAAAAGTTAACATTTACAAAAAGTGTCTCCGAATGCATGAGTAGGGAAACCCCTTCAATTGAGGAGCATGTGCAACAATTCCACAAATAATCACTATCCAGGGCAAGGCACATTGATATGGAATTTCTGTTTTCGTGCAAATTAAGGAAAAAAATAAAAACAAAACAATATCGTTTGGGGGTGGGGGAGGGGATTAGATGAGGAGCAAAGTGTCTTCCCAGGAATTTCAGTCACTTGATTGTATAGGACAGTAGTTGAGCCCTTCTGAAGGGCTGAGACAGTTTAAAGGCAAGTGCCTAGAGTGGGTTACAATATTGTCTTAATGCACTCTACTTTATCCTACATTAGCTATATAAAAATTAGTTACTAACACTAGAACATGCAGAGACTTCCTCTGGTCCGCAGGCCCTGCCGACCAGAACACATATATATGTATAGTATAGGAAACCGAGAAGTTGCATGGGAAGCAAGGGGGTGCTTCGCTGTCTGGTAGAAAAATCACTTGCATTTTTTTTTGTTTGTTTATTTGTTTCTGCTTTTTTTTTCCTTTTTTTTGTCTTTTTTTTTGCCTTTTTTTTTTCCTTAAACATAAGATACAAGACATCTGGGGGGGGGTGAACTTTTTTTTTGTTGGTTTTTTTTTTTGTTTTTTGTTTTTTTGTTTTCCCTAACAAGTACTTTGATCTGAATGGGCACACACAGTTGTGTCCTTATCAGTGTTCGTATTATTTTCCCGTAGCCCAGTTCAGGGTTTGCAAAGGGTCTTTGAAAGTTCTGGACAATGTCTGGTACAATGAGGCGTTTGAGAACCGATAGATCTGGTGTTGTCATACATGTGTAAAATTTTCCAGAATTGGCATAATTCATTATAGTGATTTCTAGCTTATAAAATTAACAGATACCATGATTTCATTTGAGTTATGTGCTTTGATAACAGAAAATAATTAATTAGCATTTAATGTAGTTAACATATTGTGGTAAAAGCACCATTAGATTTGTAATTTTTTTTGTTTTTTTGTTTTTTTTAATTTTCCTTCGTTTTTTTTTAAAGGGATACAAGTTTAACAATAAAAAACATAAAAAGCAAAAATAGCTCCCCTTTTTCTTGCAAGGCTGTTTTTTACCCCAATAATTTAGAGTCCTGGGGTGGAGGACTTGAAAAACAAAAATAGAATTTTCAACAATCTCTATCTTACAAAGATACTTAGCTATCCAATGAAATTGCACTTCACTCAATTCAAAATTCGATTGTTCTGATTCCTGTCAGTTTCTGTCAAAACAGACCATCTTCCCCATTTCCATGTGAATTTTTGTGTCATTGTTGAAATTGTTGAAAAATGTTTGTTTTTAAATGTAAGTGCAGCATTTCAAAACAAAACAAAAAAAAAATCAAACTGATAGTAGTAGTCTTTGCCGTCTTTTTGGAATTGTTCTGCAACAGGAGTGGATTCACTGTCCTTGCGGGTTGTGTTATGTATGCAACTGCTGACTGCTGAACCAAACCAAACTAAAAGAAAGATCAACTTAACTGCATTTTCTTTTTCTAATATGTTACAGAAAAAAAAAACCCAAAAACATTGCCCTTTTGAGTGTCCTGTAAGTTACAGATCACAGATCTCAGCTACTACAAAAGATTTCATTCTTCAGGTGTCTCCAAATGCTCAGGGAGGGTCACACACCTGCATGGGCAAATTCATGAAATACTGTGAAAAGGCCAGGCTCATAAGTGTTACAACAGGAAGTCCGTGAGCAAGGCTCCTCCTCTACCAGCCATGTCAGCTACTGCTCACACCACCACTGAAACACTTCGAATGTCACACAGCCCAGCCATTTCCAGCACCATATGAGAAATTACGACAGTCCCTAAAGTATTAAAAAAAAAAAAAGAAAGAAAAAAGAATCCCGAAAAGTTATGGCCTTTGCTGTTTGACCACGTTGCTTGCTGTTTCCATGTACAAGTTGATTCGAGTTGGTTTCTCTCCCCTTCCACTGACAGTGAAGTTGTAACTGCGCCGGGTTGAGGTTGCGTCCATGTTACAGAGTTGAGAAGGGGTCAGGTGGTCTGTCTGGAGGATGGTGGGACGCTGCAACTTTTATCCCAGGTACCAGGACTGGAAGACAAAAATTAAAGTCTAATTAAAATGCAGGTGTAGTGCTGGGCGTAGTGGCTCATGGGTAGCTCTTGGCTAGTAAGAGCAAGTGGTCCTCATTCTCAGTGTGCAAACATAAAGAATGTTCAATTCTGTAAAACTATTTTGAAAGTTGCTCTTTTAACCGTGGGATCAGAATTGACCATGGGGGTTCATGTGGATAAGGAATGAGAGATGATAGTAATTCCCAAGCCACTGACATTTATCTTAGTCCTCTGACATGAAAATTCATTGCCTTTGTGGGCTTGCCAATGTTTTGAGTATATCTTACCAAATGAAGTTCTTCTGGCAACATGACATTCACATTAGGTTTTGTAACCTCTTAGTGAGCAAGAATAGGAGACAAGGGACCTGGGTATCTTATTAGTACCTAGATCGATGCCTGGGAGGGCTCAAGAAAGACAAGCAAATTGGACAGAAAGTGGCTGAAGGGTAAGCTTAGGGGCTGTGGTAAAGAGCTATTTCCATGATTTTCCCAATATATTTTTCAGTGAGGTGTAGGTGCTAAGGACAGGCACTAAACATATGAACACAATATTCTGTAGGTGGCCTGTGATAGCAGTTAAAACAGAACGATCTGGTGGAAAACTCATTGGTGACCTGGGGGGTGGGAAGTCAGTCTGGTCCCTCTACTTCCTTGTCATGATGGGGGGTTTATGGTGCAAATCATCTTCTTTTCAATTGCATATATTTAAAATGATATTCTTAGAAAAGATACATAATGAAGAAGATGCTCCTCATTAAGCACCGTCAAGTTCATGGGGGAAATGAGACCACTGTAGTCCTTGTTCATGTTTCTGTCCACTCAATGTGCCCTTGGAGCTATCTGCCAGATTGTAGAGCCAGTCTTATGTCCCTTTCAGAAATATCCAGATGACTACCTTTGTGACTGCTGCATTCTTTGTCAACAAAGAAAGTTAGCTTAACAAAATGAGCAATTATAGACCAATCTCAAAACTAGTGTCTCAAGTGAAGCTAGAAATTGAATGACTTTTTTTTTTTTTTGCCAGCTTTCTTCTACGTACTCTGAAGAATTCAGTACCTTTGTCAGGAGTCAGAAAACCTACCAGCTTCAGGACAAGGCTAATGGCTGTGAGCTCTGCATTGAAAACATCAGCAGGGTTTCGGAACTGATTCGGAGGGCTAAGGCTCACTCTTGTTGGGGAGATTCAATTAGGGGAAAGTCGGGACTCCTTTGATCCCAGGGATAAATGGCTAAATGATAGCTCCACAGAGGTTGGTGTAAAATTTCCTGGTCACACAAGGTACCTTTGATTTCCAAAGGTGCTCATAGCAAAACAAAACAAAACAAAACAAAACAAAACAAAACAAAACAAAACAAAAACCAAACCACAAAACTACTTATCCTGTAGATTTTACTCTCTGACCATGTGCTTTGGGGAACCCAATAAAGCTGCTTATATCTGGAAAAGAAATCACCCTGGCAAGGGCACATGGCCTAAATCTAAGTGGACAAAAGAAAGATCAGTAAGAAAGAAAGGGGAGGGAAGTGGACCCCAAACTGTGTCTGTTTTAAGTCTCTCCTGATCTCTGACACAGATCCACTTTCCATATCTGCTCTTATACAGAACAGTCTCAAACCGAGTGGCAAGTGCTGTTCTCAATCTGTTTGCATGCTTTCTAAGGCAGTTGTGAAATTCCGGACTTCTTCAGTGTGGCAGTCCTGAAGTAAAGGCCTGGGACCTGGTGAGTCACCAGGGGGAGCAATTTTCCATCCCATAGTTTCTGGACTCAGGGCACTACAAAAATCAGCAGTGCCCTGTACTTCTGTTAAAAAGCAAAGCAAAGCAAAGCAAAGCAAAGCAAAGCTAAGCTAAGCAAGCAAAGCAAAAGGAAAAAAAAAAGTTTCTTCACACATCTTACTATTCAGTTTGTGCCTCACCCACAAGGTTACCCCAGAGCAGCTCTGTAACCCTTCACTGAAATAGGCTTTATTGATTGCTCTGGTCTATTGTTCTCTTTTCAAGTCCCCCAAGTTCAAGTTCATCCTGGTGTTACATCATGTCTGGTTGCTCTTAGCAACCAGACAGACCCAGACGTGACTATCATTAGCAAGAAACCCGCCACTCTCCTCCCACCAACCTTCCAGTGGCTCTGACGTAGCAGGCCCACTGCAAACACACTGAAGTATTTATTCTGCCTAATTTATGACCTACCCAGCAAGCTAGACCCCCACTCCAAAAACCAACACTGTTGTATATTTAATTAATCTGTCTTTCTTTGGCATTTGAGAAAGTTAGACAAAGGACTAATTATTGTGTTTCGCTCTCCACACTTTTCTTTTGGGGGGTGAATATTTGCCTGGGAAAGAAAACGATGAAGCCCCGCAATGGCCCCTCCCCTTTTTCTTTCTGCCCTTTTGACATTTCATGAAATACTTTAGCTGCTTAAGGGAGTTAGAAAAAAAAAACTGCACTGTGAATGTTACTCCTTCTGAGTTGGTATTCAGTAACACAAATCAACTCACGACATGTTTAAATTTAAATGCTAACCACACGCTCTCAGAGTTACTTTAAAGGTTAGTTTTTAATCAATAGAAGTTGCTGACTCTGGGCTTTTGAGCTGCACACTGCAACTCCCGGGCTTTTGTCTAATGTTAAAGCTTGGGAACTTTTTTTTTCCTTGAGATGATTTTAGCAATGATTTGCAGATACTGAGGCTATTGTGCTCCTACCAGCAACATGTCAATAGAGGAGCCGAGCTGCCCTGTGGTGGGCTGTCAATATGACTCCTAAGGCAGGGGTTGGGGGTCTTTAATAACCCGTGAAAAAACCTTAATTAACCCTTTCAGGCCCAAACCAAAACCTATTCTCCCACTTTTCACTCCTGTAATTTGACCATTAGTACTTATTTCAACATCACACTAATCTTCATGACAATTAACCCAGCTACTTGACCAAGGAAGGGTTGCTAGAATGGGAAGTCAGTTAGGGGGAACCACACACGAACTTTTTTTTCCTTTCTTTTTCTCTTTCTTTCTTTTTCTTTCTTTCTTTCTTTTTCCCTTCCTTCCTTCCTTCCTTCCTTCCTTCCTTCCTTCCTTCCTTCCTTCCTTCCTTCCTTCCTTCCTTTCTGAATGAGGTCTCTTAGTAAATCATCTGCAGAAATATAATAGAGCAACAGTTGTAAACAATAGGAAATTAATCCATTTTGCCAAGTTTTCTATCTGTCGATTTGTAGTTGAAGACATTGGTGGTGACATGTGTGACAACCGCCCACACAGAGGTGCCCCTGGATTTCTGAAAATTTCCGTGAACTGCCAATCAAATCAGATGGATAAGGCCATGATATCAGGAAAGGCTCTTTTTCTTGTGGCATTTTCCTTTAATTTCTGTTACTTGAAAGCATTGCAAGTCTGAGAACAGTCACTAAAGAATGACTCTGCACCTTTCCTCTTGGGGCAGAAAAACAGGAATCTGAGACTGGGAAATTCTTGGGTTGAATCAAGTCATTGGGAAAATACTGGCACATGAAACAAAATTCATCTGTGGAGAGTCAGAAAATCATCCTCACATCTGACATCTGCTTGGGTATCATAAGGCGTCTGCCTCCGTACTTTATAGGCCCTTAATCTGCCCTACTGTATCTAGGCGACTACAAAGGAATCTCTGTCCCTTATCTGCAGAGAGTGGCAATATTACAGTACCGCCTCGGAGGATGTTATCTTGATACATTTACATTGAGGAAGTAAACACTGAGCTTTGATCTATTTATTTATTTTTTCCTGCAGGAACATTCAACTACAGTTGATTTGGTGGCCCATAAATCCACACTCCCACAAAGGCTCTAGTTTCAAGAAATTAGCCAGTTACATTCTCAATGTCCACAGTTTGGGATGTACCAGGGGTGGGAGGGGGACCTGTCCTTTTTCAGTGTTCAAGGTGAAACATCAAAAGAAATCTGCAGTCCAAGAGCTCAGTTTTCCTTCTAGCGGGTCAGATGGAGAAGTAATCTCATCAGGTTGGAAAGTGCTGACTCAGGATTTAATAAAGTGCCTGCAGATGTGGTGTCTCTAAGGTATTCAACTCATGTAATGCAAAACAGCTCTGTGCCGAACGTGCTTATAAAATTTCATTTAACCATTGCAGCGCGGTTCTCTTAGGAGTTTTATCACACTTCCCGCCCCTTAATTTACAGCTCCATGAAAGTTCCAGCCCCATTCTGTGGGGATTCTGGAATGTTCACAGTAGTCAGGATTTACGAACCATAAACAGCCTCCATCCCACTGCATCCTAAACAAGAGGGCTGAGATGGCAGCAGGCACTGTGACAGTGGCAGTCTGGTCCTTCTCTTGTGCCTTGTTGTGTACAATTACAAAATGGAGTTGGTCCCGAGTCTACTGGAGACAGTCGACGAACCTAGGGACTCAACTTCCTTGTCAACAGCCAATATTCTAACACATGAAACTTCTTTACGGTCTCTCTCTTTCTTGTCAGAGGGCAGGGTATACATTTTAAAAACAAAACATAAATATATCTGAGATAGTTCTATTTCACTTTTGAGAAGAGAGAAAGAGAGAGAGAGAGAGAGAGAGAGAGAGAGAGAGAGAGAGAGAGCGAGCTGTGGAGGGCAGGCTGGACTGTGACGGCAAAATCTGTTTTTCAAATTAAAAAGTTGAACAAAAGGCCCTCAGGGGCAAAGTTTAACACTGCACGGAAGGAGGTTGTTAATGTGGAATCCAGAACTGGGTGTGACGCTTAGCTTTCTTCTCCAGGCAAGGTGGGTTATTTAAGGACATTTACACACATAAACGGAAACACAAAAACACAGGAAGCTCCCCCTCCAACCCATCACTCCCTACCAGCCACACAAGGGACACAGTAAGCAGGTCTGCATCCAGTGCAGCTGCCATATTGTCCCTCCTGGTGATGCTACCTCTGCTGGACCACACTAATCCAGTCAGTTAGTCATTTCTGGCTTCCTGTTCTTGTTTGCATGAA